TCTCAGTTTATAAAAGGAGGCCCTCACTCAGACAACTGTCAGGACTGCCTTTTTCTTCATATATCTGTTTCCAGTCTCCATGGCATTAAACTGCTTACTGCCCCTTGTGTCTTAACACTGGTGGCCCACTTACCATTTGCCAACATTGCCTGAAATACCCTGTTTCCATGACATTCCCTTTGGCTAACTTCTGATCAAGGAGTCAAAGCAAGGGGAATTATGATACTTATGACAAGTGTCATGGAGCTGCGTGTCCTGCTACTTCCAGCCCTCTCTGCAAGCAGGCAGCTCTTTTACACCTATTATGAGGAGCTCTCTCATTATGGCACTAAAGAGTTGACAGAGTTTGTCATGTATAATTTTCTCCAATTTGTATTATAAATATATCCAAACTATATAAAAATATTCCTATAAAAGATTGGTTTATCAAGCATCTGCCACCTAGATTTAAAAATTGAGTATATCTACCATTTTTGTGGATAGATATATGTATATGTATGTATAAACATTTTTGGCTGAACCACTTGAAAGTAAATTACAGACTCATTAGACTTTACACCTAAATATTTCAGTTTCTAACTCCTAAGAATAAGGGAATTCTTGAAATATAAAACCTAAAAAAGAAAAAGAAAAAAGAGTTCCTAAAATGATCTATATCCAGTCCAAATTCAATTTTCCTCAATTGTCTCCAAAGTGCCCTTTATAGTTTCTTTTTTAGAGCCAGAATGTAAACCACATTGAATCTATTTATTTATACATATACACAGATATTTATTTACACATATACACAGATTTTTTTTTTTTATAGAGTTGGAGGGTCTCAAATTCCTGGCCTTAAGCAATCCCCCTGCTTCAGCCTCCCAAAGCACTGGGATTACAGGGATGAACCACTGCACCTGGCCAATGTCGTGTTTAGTTGCTATATTGCTTTAGCCTCTTTTAATCTTGAACAGTCTCTATTTTTTTTTTCTTTTTTTGGTACTGACATTTTTTAATAACAAAAATTTCTCACAGTTTGGGTGCTGGAAAGTCAAATATCAAGGTGCCAGCATATGGTGTCTGGTGAATGCCTTCTTGCTGAGTTCTAACTTGGCAGAAGGCAGAAAAGGAAGTGGAACAAACATTATGTCCTCCCATGGCAGAAGAGTACAAGAGGTACAATGACTTTTTGAAGAAACAAACTGTCTTATAAAATGTCCCACATTCTAAATTCTGATTTTTTTCTCCTTCAGATGTTTAATTGGCTCCCTTTTCCCCAGTACTCTTGTAAACAGCAGATTGAGACATGATTAGGTTCCAGTTACACCTTTGGCAAGGTGAAGTTCTATATAATGCAACACAAGCAGAGGCATGAAATAAGAGATTTTTCTAGTGGTAGGTGCTAAATTAGATCACTTAACTAACAAACGGAGCCAATCTCTCCACTGTAGATACATTTGACCCCTTGAAAATAGCAATGTGAGGGGATATTTTGGCACTGAGTACAGGGTTTCCCAACAAATTTTCTCCTAAACCTTTTCTCCTAAACATTGGCAATCCTTGCCTAAATTAATTCAAAGAATTTTTAAGAATGATTTTCTAATGTTTTGACCATCTCTTGTCAAAAATAGGAGTAAATAAAGAAAAACAAATACGTGCAAAAAATGTATCCAGAATGGCATATGCTACAGTTTGTACTAATGCTGTTAATTCTATGGTTATCCAAGAGTTGGTTTAGGCAGGATGTAGTATGATTAAGATACCCCAAACTCTAAAATTTTAATTATAGATGAGGATCTTTATAAAGGGAAAAAAATCCTACAATACTTGTCTTTAGATAAATAGTCCTACAAGGGTCAATGCAGTTGGAACTTGTGGTGTCTGGAACCAGCCCACCAGAGTTCTAATCCATGATCATTCTCTTTCCAGCTGTATTCCCTCATTATTCATTATACATTTGTCAAGCCTAGTGCCAGTTATTTTTTTTAAAGACAGCAGACTTGTGTAATTAAATATTCATATTTGTACCAAAACACTCACAGCAGCACCCAATACCATCTCCTTAGGCAATTCTTTTAAGTGTGAGCTCTTCAGAGAAAAGGTAAGTGGCCCTAAGAAAGGGCCTTTACCTCTGCCTCAGAAAAAGCCATAGGCAAGACTCTAAAAGCCATAGATAGTGCTTGCGTCCCTGACACTTTAGCACATAGACCATGTCCATAGCTGTGACCGCCTTGCTGCTCTGCGTGTTGTGTGTAGGTGATGGCGTTGAATCACGTTCTCCAGGAACACTTTGAGCACCTGCACGTTTCCTCGTAGATGAAACCAGAAATGCCCTTGACACTGCCACGCTGGGCCAGGTGGCAAACTGTAGGCTTGGTAATTCCCTATGTTGTAGTTTAACACTTTACGGTGGCGTTTAGCACCACCTTTTCCCAAGTCTTTGCCGCCTTTCCCAATCCCAGACATGGTAAATAAAAGCTCAATGGTATAGCTAAACAAAGCAACGACTCACTTGCTACAGCTGCTTATAGAACGATTTGCGGACTTTTTTAAAAACTGAAAGAATTAGGCGGGAAAATGCATTGAATCCCTGCCCCTCTGTTTCTAGTAATACCAGGACCTAAGAAAAAACTGGAGAGGGAGATTTACTGGTATTTAGAGAATAAGAATCTCTAAACACAAGTGTCAACTTGTACACAAAGGAAAGTACCTCATTTTTTAATGTGTGTATATATTTAAAGATTTAATTCATTTCACATATATTCTTGGATCATTTGCCATTCTAGAATTAAAACAAGCCCAAACCCCAAGAAATAAAGGAATTCAAACTCACTGCCAAGCCACAAACTAAAGGAAAGAATCAGGTTTGAAATTTGGAATCCCTGAGCAGCGAATCTCACACTTTGATATTAAAGACCTTTGTTAATCTGAGTCTCAATGGCCTCATTTGTAAAAGGGTAAGTACTTGTTAATAATTGAGTTAAACCAAATAGTGGCATCTAGTTGGTAAACAATACATCCTTATTGCTGTCTACTCTTACAAAATATTTTAATACGGAGAAATGTAAAGCACAGAGAAGGATTTCAAAACATTGCCAATATAATACCAATACATACAGTATGTTCTAATTCATACCTATTAAGCACTACACATTTAAATAATGAAGGATTGCAAAGAAAAAAGTATGTAAATTGGCAGAGGCTTATGCCCTGTTGTCATATGGAGGACAGAGGGTGGGAGGGGCAATTGTCCTCTCCTGAGATTGATGAGGGGAATTCAGGCAAGGGTTTCATAAATTCTAATACTAGACAAACAGATTTACACAATGCGAGAAATAAAGATGATCACCACTAGATTTTTACATTACAAAAAAAAAGTCTACTGAGCTAGTTGCATGGGAGCATTTAAGAGGAGATAAATGACGTACTTAGAATAAAATGTTCAAAATAATATTGCATTTTTATTGTGTTCTTATGATGTGCCAAGCACATGATCCTAAAGACCATGGATTTTTGAGGAAGTGTCAGCAATATCTAACAAAAATCCACTTATATGAATAAATGAACTATAAACTAATGGACATGTCACCACCAACACAGCAAAAAGTACAAAACATGGCTATTTATGTCCAAAAAAAAAAAACCACATTGATTTCTTAAACCATGGAATCCCAAGCAATACAAGTATCAACTCCTATAAGAATTGTCACATTTTTTTACCTTGTTATTTTGAAAATAACTAGTTTCACAAGTTGTAATAGTAGAGTTCCCTGAACTCTGAATCCAGTTTTCCCTAAAAATGGCATCCTATTGAAGGAGTTCAGAACATGACACCCCAAAATATGCTGTGATGGCATATTGACTATTTTGAGTTAAAGGCCATTGAAAAATAACTGATGCAAGCAAAAAATACTTTGAACTTTGTTTCCAAAAGCAGGAGTTGAAATTCCCTTGTGAAAGATGCCATCCCTATGGCAAAAGGAAAGTAGCATTCTTGAGGCAGAAGGGAAATCTATATAAAGCTTGTTAAACTAACTCATCTTTCTAGTTACTTTTCCACCCAGTTAACTACCCTATCCCGAACCCCTTTTCCTCAGCACATTTTCAGCTTTGTCCAATTTAGCATATACTATTCAACTCTCTGTATGGAGGGCTTTTATTCCTTTTGAAGGCTCCCATATCACATAAAAGTTATATTACATACAGTTGCTTTTCTCCTGTTCATCTGTCTTGTCAATTTAATTCTCAGGCCTACCCAGAAAAAAACCCTATATGGATAAGGATTAAATTGTGCCTCTCCTTCACTATATAGCTATAATATCAAAACCAGGAAACTGTCATTGGCAAAATACTGTTAGGCTGACTGTAGGCCTTGCTCAGTTCTCACGAGTTTTTGCATGGCCTCATTTGTAGAGTATGTGTTGTGTGTGTTTGTGTATAGCCCTATTCAGTTTTATCCTATATAGATTCATGGAGGTACCATCCCATGCAGCTACAAAACAGTTCTAACATCAAGAAATTTGCTTTAAACCTTTATAGTCACACCCACCCACCCCTTTCCTTAACAGGGCAAAAAATAACCTGTTATCCACATTGTCGTTTCCAAGATTATACAAATGGAAGTGTTTAATATCCTTAGATTTAACATTTGCCACCCTGTTACTTTAAGGACACTAGGTCATTTCCAAACCTGGGCAGATTACAAATAATGTCGTTAGGTTTCTTCCAGCTGGGAACTCTGAAAAGTATGTATGGGAGAGAAAGTGGTTAATGGGAAACCGAGGTTCGTGAAACAATAGCCACAGGAGCCTTCAGTTTCCCCGGAGGTTGTAAACCTAACCGACAGCTGCAGCCAGCATTACTATTCTCCCTGATAAGGACGGAATTACCCTCCTTCCTTATCTCTGCATCTGCAGGGTGAGACTGACTCAGGGGTCCTAGAAACTGGTTATTTAAAAAAAAAATTTATTGCAGCGGATGTTCTGGCCCGGGTGCTCAATGTCAAATAAGAAACCTATAAAACCCAAGGCTTCCCCTACCTCAGGGCGAAGGCTCTTTGGTCTCCACCCATCTGCAACCAGATGCCCAAAATAAACAGCATTTGCTATGCATGAGGCTTCGTGTCTCTCGGCTCCGGGCCTAGCAGAAAGAAACTCATGCAGTTTCTTTATCTGGACTTTGATTTACTTTGTCCCAGACAAAATGGAGAATACCCTGACCTGCTGTGGGAAATGGCCCGGAGGCTAAGGACCAAAATAAAAGGATCGGCCGGCCAAGGTCTAGGGGCTCCACCCACGATCCCTGCCACCAGCCCCTTAGTCTCTGCGCTTCAGAACAATTTACCCCTTTGTGCTACAGCGCTTGAAATTGAAACCATAGGTGGCTCTGAAAAGAGCCTTTGGATTTAAGGATTAGGAACTGAGGAAAGTTTATGCTCTCTCTCCACGAATGCGGCGCGCGAGCTGGATGTCCTTGGGCATGATAGTGACACGTTTAGCGTGGATGGCGCACAGATTAGTGTCCTCAAAGAGACCCACCAAGTAAGCCTCGCAGGCCTCCTGCAGCGCCATCACTGCCGAGCTCTGGAAGCGCAGGTCGGTCTTGAAGTCCTGCGCGATCTCCCTCACCAGGCGCTGGAAAGGCAGCTTGCGGATCAGCAGTTCGGTAGACTTCTGGTAGCGGCGGATCTCGCGCAGGGCCACGGTGCCAGGCCGGTAGCGGTGGGGCTTCTTCACGCCGCCGGTGGCCGGCGCGCTCTTGCGGGCCGCCTTGGTGGCCAGCTGCTTGCGCGGCGCCTTCCCGCCGGTGGACTTGCGGGCTGTCTGCTTCGTGCGAGCCATGAGGAAAGTCTTCAGCAGATAGTCCCTACTGAGGGATCAGCGTGTCTTGCTCCTATTTATAAAGGCAAAGTTCTCCTGATTGGTCCGAATGTTCAAATTTCGCGCCCCGAATGAAATTACCTGATAGGCCCTGTGATTGGCTACCAGGTTTCATTTTAGAAAACCTTAACCTATTGAAAGGTGCTCCTTTTTACTTTTCTAGTTCTCTTGCCCTATACTGTGTATTATGCGCCTCCTTGTATTATGTACCTTAATTCACTATTTTAATGCATTTGTTTGGGATTGAGTTTGGGAAAAGACAAAAATGAACGTTTCGCAATTACCGATGGATTTCAAAAAGTCCGCGTTTGAACATGATTGGTCCATCCCGGCCTTCGTCTTGTATATTTTATTAAAAATTTTTGAGTTTAAAAAAACGTTTATTTTAGCCATAGAAACACCCTATTTTATAATTCTGAGTCTTTCAACAAACACTGGCATCATTCCCATACAGTGTTCTAGGGAACATTAAAATCTTACTGTAGTTGAAATAAGACCATCATTTGGTATCTGAAAATGCTTAAATCTTTAGATAAAGTAAAAATGCTGCCAACTTTGACCAGATTTTATAAGAATGCCAATGGCACAATTTTGGAAGCACTTAAATCTTTAGCTAATTTTTATGTTCTGTTTCCTAGAATTAGTTCTTCACGGATAACTTTAAAACAGGAAACTGCAACTTAGTACAAAACTAGAGACACAAATACATATCAGTCTTTTGTTTCTGTTTAAATCTGGTCATGGAGTCAGAAATCATAACTGGATAGTACTAGCAGGGCATTAACTTTTTTAACTGTTTTAAAAGAAAAACTACCTTTTTTTTCTCGTAGTGGTGTATAAAAAAATTTAAGGGAGGTTCCGGACAAATAGCCAATCAAAAAGTAGATTTGAATCCACCTTATTTGCATAAAAACCTATTTACTGAATTTCTCCAATCAGGGATTGAGAAGATGAAGTCCCTATTTGCATAGAAGACCTACAAAAGTAGGTCAGCGGGGGCGGTTTAACGTTCATTCTTCCTTCTCTTGCTGCTTGAGTGCTTTATCATGCCGGAACCTGCCAAGTCCGCTCCTGCCCCAAAGAAGGGCTCCAAGAAGGCGGTGACCAAAGCCCAAAAGAAGGATGGGAAGAAGCGCAAGCGCAGCCGCAAGGAGAGCTACTCCGTGTACGTGTACAAGGTGCTGAAGCAGGTCCACCCCGACACCGGCATCTCCTCGAAGGCCATGGGCATCATGAACTCGTTCGTCAACGACATCTTCGAGCGCATCGCGGGCGAGGCCTCTCGCCTGGCGCATTACAACAAGCGCTCGACCATCACCTCCAGGGAGATCCAGACGGCGGTGCGCCTGCTGCTGCCGGGAGAGCTGGCCAAGCACGCCGTGTCCGAGGGCACCAAGGCTGTTACCAAGTACACCAGCTCTAAGTAAATGTTTCTAGACAACGTCAAACCCAAAGGCTCTTTTCAGAGCCATTCCAATCTCAGTTAAGAGCTTTAATGCTACAAGCTGCTGTGTTCTACAGAAAAGTTAGATTTTCTGCGTTGGCTGCTTCTCCACGCTATTCCAGTGCTCTGGCTGTTTTATTGAACAGCTAGTTTCGGCATATATAGGGCAGAAGAAATAAGTGGGCAATCCAGATAATAAGCTTTGGCTGTAGTCAGTTTTTAAGAAAATGTAGTTAGTCGTGGTTGAAAACATTGAGCGTCTTTAATAAACTGTTATAGAGAACATAATATTTTTATGGAAGTTATGGGTCTTTAAGTGGCATTCATTTCTTTATGGAGAGTTTATTCTTTTAGTGAGAACTTATTAAGTTATACAAAACATTCAAGAAAGCAGTGAGAAGGATAGAAATCATCCCTGTTGTTACCTGGATTGAAATCTAAAATGGATATTTGAATAGTATTTTCAAATTGACAGGAGGAGGCATCAGTCTAAAAATGACTTTTTTTAAAACTGGCTTTTGATGGAGCTACATTTAAATTGCTAAAAGTCGAATTAATAATCTTGGAAATTTTCAAGTTCTCTGGAGGCAATTCTTGAGAGAGGGTGGAGCAAAAGAGATGGTAAGAGAAAAGGAGCCAACAACTCCAACTTTACAAGCAGTCTGATTCTTTACAAGCAGACTGATTCTTGCATTTTTATGGAGATGGGGGGATGAAAGAATAAGAGGTAGGAAGCTAGCATAGAATTCAAGTCTATATATTGATGGAAATGGAATTAATAGGGACCACACATTTATTTTCATCTGGCCTTATATCATCATTTGTTCACAAGGATTTTCAAGAAGTCTTAATGACTTACTAAAACATAACAACTTACTGAAATGTGGACAGTAATATTATGTTAATTATTCATGTTAAAAGTTATTTTAATAAGATAAAGTTTGTTTTGTATTTAATGTGCACCTGTGTGAGTTAGTATTTAATACCCCTGAAAGTGACAGACAACTTGAAAGTCACTCCTTGATAAAAATAAAAATCTACCTCTTTCTCATACAAAGCTAATACAGCTCAGGCCTGGAATGGAAGCTCCAATATCCTTAGAAAATTCATCTCCTTGTATGTACAATGTGTGTTTGTTCTATTATTTGAAATAGTTTCAAAAATATTCTGTAATTAAATTCTGCTATGGAGGACCAACACAACAACAAATAGGATGGATAAAACTCATAAGTGTTAAGTAGTTAATTCATAAGAAATGTATAAGAAGTGTTAAGTTGATAAGCAAGAAGTTTCTGAGGTATATATAGACAAAATTTTATTTAGTATGAATCATAAATTAGCATGTGGGACAATGTTAGACATATAGAAAGTCAGTAGGCCTTCTGTGTGCTACAAAGAGATGAAAGAATCAAGAAGCACCAAATACTTATCAGACACCAAATATTTATAAAACAACCAGTATTTATGAGATCTTAACTTGACCACCCATTGTTAAAACCCATTTTAGCCCCATTTGCCTTCTGCAGACAATACGCATGGAAAGGGCATGGCAGCTCATTATGTCCCTGGTAAGCAATATGAGTAGCTGTATACTTGTCCCTGTATCTCTCCAACAGTGATGGCATGTGTGGCTCCAAATAACTTCCACCTGCTGAGCCTGTTTGCTTATCATCAACTTTGGTTCTCAAAACTACCCTCTCAGTGGGAAAATATTTGGGGAGGGGGCTCACATACATGACATGCATAATCAAGGATTCAGGCAATGTTACTGTCTCATTCACAACCTATCTGGAATGTGTTAACCTGCCAAATCTCTTTCCCCTTGTTTCTTACTATATGTTTAAAATTGGTTCAATGAAATTTAAATAAGCTATGAAATTCAAGAAACTGGTCTGTGAGCCTTTCTGTCCATCACCTTTGGAATGGCCTGCCTAGTAATGTATTTGGAGGCTACCATTGCATTAAGGTAGTTTCCCAGATGGCATTGTAATTCTGTCATTCTTAATATGTAGTCTAAGTATACCTAGGGGCATATGCCAGAAGAAAAACAACAAAAATAAAATTTTATATATATATATATATATATAAATATATATATATATATAGTCTAATATGCCTGCTCCAGCTATCATGTTTGCATTTCATCCTGCAGGAAGGAGAAAAGGTCCAGGAAAGAAACATCCCCGCTATCTATGGAAACTTAAGGAGTTCAGAATATGTTACCCCAAAATATGCTGCTTTGGACTTCAAACTGAAGGCATTGGAAGAACAGCAAAAACGTGTAATGGCCAAGAGAAAACTTCCCCTTTACCTTCTGAATGTTTGCTGAAAATCACTGATGAAAAGGCAGACTAATAGGAGAAAAGGCATATAAATTTAATCATAGTTTTATGTGACATAGGCTCCTTCAGAATGAAGACCCAAAGATACACTAAATGGGGAAACCCAGAAAAGACCTACATATATTCTTCTTGGCCTCTCTGAACATGCATTCCTTCCTTCTGGGTGTGGGTCAGGACCCTCTCTGGAATGAGGATCTTATGACCTACAAACAGATATGTCAGATAATTTATTTTTACAGCCAGTTTTTACACAGAAAGGCAGAAGGAAACTTAGAGTAATATGTTTAGGTTTTATGGCTGGCTTTGGGGATAAAGAGTTCTGGTTTCTATCACCCCAGGAAAGAGGGATTCTAATCTTATGGCTAGCCTCAGGGGAGAATGAGAAGCCAGAGATAGGAGGGCAGGAGAAAGTTAAAGAAAAAGTTTTGCTTCTGAGGCCTTCATTTTGCTTCTAAGACTGCTTCTGAGGCCTTCATTTTGGTGTGTCATTTTCTGAGCCCCTACAAATGCAGGACAGGGCTTTCTCTGAACTTCTGCCTAGAGACAGAACCTTCAAAAGGAACTCAGTTGCCTTGAATCTACTCCCTAGTAATGTTATCAACTAGGAAAGATTAAATTCATGTCACAGGAGAAAAGACTGGAAGTTAAGGCCATCTAAACAGACTGTCTCAGGCTACCACAGATTCTTCTGAGGGCCCATTCATCTTTCCTAAAACCTATTTACTCTCTCCTAAGTTACCTACATGTCTCTCTTTTCCCTATGAAAAGGATATATATAAGCTTCTAGATATCACTAGGTTTTAGGGTATTCACCTTTTTTTATGTGATGCCCCCATGCACATAATAAATTTGTATACCTTGTCTACTGTTAATCTGCCTGCTGTCAGTTTATTTCACAGACTTAATTACTGAACCATCAGAAGGTAGAGGAAAATCTTCCCTCCCCTGCAAAACCCTGAAGATGGTATAATGTCACCTTCACTAACATATCACTGATCAAAAATAGTCAATGGATACACCTAGGTGCACAGGAAGTTTGGGGAATTTATTGAATAATAAAGGAAAATCAATGTTAGGGAACAATTATGTGGCAGTCCCTGCCACAACTCATGCCTAAAATCAGTATAGATAAGACAATAAGAGAATAGCTCTTAGAGGCTGACTGGTGAATTCTTATATTTTCAGGAGGACACAGTAGCTTCCCAGTACAAAAAAAAAAAAGAAATTATAAACATTGGCGATAGTTGCTTCAGTTCGAAGATAATAAAACAGTATAACTCTAATTAGAATCAAAATTTCATTTTATCATGCAGTGCTAGAAGTCCAAAGGTAGCTGTCTGCAGTCAGCATAGGGGTTGGGAATCAAAAACACAGGGAAAAGTGAAGGCAGGACTATGTGGTCAGACTCAGTGCCTACAGTGAATGAGGGTGGGCTATTTGAAGTGGTACCCTACTGTTTTAAATCTCTATTCCAGGTTCAACAATCTGTTATACAAACTCTAAATCTATCTGCCATAGCCCTGTCTTCTATTTTGCTGGATTTTCTCAACTCACTCAGAAGACATACCTATTGACATTAATGATCTTTGTGCACTGACTCCCCCTGCATTAGTTTCAGCCTTCCCTTTTGCTTTAAACAGCTCAGCTTTTCCTTTCAAGATACCTTGCCATGTTCCTCAAGACCTTGCATATCTAAAATGCTCACTTTACTTAAATGCAATTATCATTCAGTCAAACCACAAAGGTGAACTAGAAATAGTCACCATTATCTAGGACGTGAAATATTATCTCACAGAGGAAACAATAATGTATATTAACACATAGACCTAAATTAATCAAAAAGATCAGAAACTAATGTAAAGATAATTTATTCAAGCACAAAATATAAGAATTAACCAACATGAAACAACTCCAAAGGAATGGAGTCAGCATTTCAAAATAGGGAAGATTTCATTTCTAAAGGCAGAGACAGAAATTTTTAGGATTACATTATTTATACAAGGTTGGCACATAGTTAAAGCTATAGTTATTGGTTATAAGCTGTGTTTCTTTGGGGGAAGGGTACAATTAACTTTTTTAATAGACGGTGTAAGAATCACAGGTTTTCTGTCATCTGGTCTAAGGAAAGCATGGTAACAAAGGAGAAATTAATCTTTAACAAGGGTCATTAATTAAAGAGGCAGGAGGTTTTTGTCCCTGACATTGCTTAATTCTCTCTACTAATTGCACAGAACAAGAAAAATAAGAAAACAATCTGTAATCTGAGAGACAAAAGTTGTAACCATATGTGGCTCAGATGACAGTCACATCTCTCTCAAAGTTTAAAGTGTTTTAGGGGTTCTAACAGCTTTTAAATTTTATTTATTTTCAAAAACTACAGAACAGCATTGGAATATGACTAAAATTAGAAGTGTTTGGGGGGGGGGGCTACGACCTAGGTTGAATTTGTTTCATTTATTAGCTGGGTGACTTTAGGCATTATGGAGAATTATTCAGCTTACTGCATCATCTGCATCATAGAGTAATTTTCACAATGATTATAAAATACCCTACACCAAGGCAGAGGCCAGATTTCTAATTTCTAAAAGGAAATGTAGTCACTTATTGCTAGATCTTCTTCAGGTTCAAGACACTCCATCTATAGAATAAAGATAAGATTTTATGGGTCAGAAAGAAAGCAAAATGTGGCCGAGTTTTTTCTCAAGAGTTAACTAGAAAAGAAGCTATAATCACCTCAATCAGGACTTCTGCCTCCTTCTTCAGTCCTCAACAGGACTTCTGCCCCCAGCCCAGTGATCTTTCAAATATGGATGTAAACTAAGGATAAGACTGTTTGGTTGTATATGTTGATTCCTGGACCCTCAATCAAAACAGCTCAAGGAGAAAATAGAGACCCTGTGGTACTGATGTTGCTCCCCAGATACAGTTTTCTGAGTAAATCCTTAAGGACCCCTAGACACCTGTTGGTTCCTCCAAAAGCACTTACAAAAGAAGTGAAAGTAATAGTTCACACACGATAAATAAAATCTCTGGATCTCATATTAAACTATAGTCTCATTCAATATGAATGATTTAGGAAAGATGCAATCTCTCGATTTCTCTGCCAAGCTTTACTTAGAGCGCAGGATCAGTAGTTAGGGAACATGTATCACCTTCATTGTAAATAATTTTAATTTATTTGTTTTGTTACGGATTTGGCCATCATATAACCATTATGGAGATTTTAAGATACAGTTCTATTGGCAATAGGATGAGCAGTTTTCTTTGTACTTGGGAACTCATTGTTACTGAACAAAATTGGGGTCTACTCACCAGGCATAGCAAAGTCAGATACTGAAGCCAAGAGTAGCAGTGGAAGAAAGAGACATTTTAATTTCATGGTACCATGCTAGGAGATCAGGCAGCTAATGCATAAGACCTGAACTCCCCGATAGCTTACTAACCAGGGTTTTTAAAGGCAGGGGTACATTTCAGCCAGGCAAAATTGTAAATTAATACATGGATGTTATATATTGGCCTGGCCCAAAAGGCAGGATATCCTAAAGTAAGGGCTTGTGGGTCATAGGTGGATTCAGTGATTCCTTGATTAACACAAAGGAATGCTAAGATAAGTGTGAGTCCAGGCTCCCAGAAATGTAGAACAAAGAAGAGCAGTCAGAGTTCAATTTCTCAGTTCCCCCTTATCTGCATTTTCCAACTGGTGGGAGATTCTGAACAACTCAAGAACATATATATTATTAAGATGCCATCTTTAGTTTCCATAGAGAATCACTACACCTCCTGACTGTGGCTTGCTTGGAAAGCCATTGCTATTTCCATTAACTTTTCAAGGCTAGCTAGGTCCCAGAACTCTCCCTAAAGAAACTCAAGATTTTCCTTTATTTCCAAGCTTGGGAAGCCTGGCAGGTTCCTAAGAGGGGTCCTTGCTCTGTCTCAGTCCTCCCTTGTCTTTATGTTACTTCTCAATATTGAGGGGTACAGGAATGCTGAATACTCTGGTTACTTTATGCTGAATTAGGGCAAAGATGGGGGACTAGCATATGAGGAGAGAAAGTTTCTAGCATGAAGCTAGAGATGTTCTTGAGTCCTAGGCCTGGTTTTTGTCACTATTTTATTATAACATTTTAATACACATTTGGCTACAATATAAAGTATAAGTAAAATTAGCACGACTGGCATGCCTAAATTTAGCAATCCAGAAAACCTGGACTATATTCCTTGAGGAATCTAGGAAAACAAAGAAGAAAACCAGTCCTCAGGGAGCTTGTTTTCTAATATTTTTTAAATGAGTTATCTCTGTAGATATATTCACGTAAGTAGAACATGCAATACTCTTCCCTGCTCAGCTAAGATGTAATCTAAGACTATCTTATTATCTAAAACAACCTGAGTCAATGAATCAATTTTACCAGCAGGACCTCAGATAGTCCTATCCAATACGGATGAAGTTGATCTTATACCAGCTTCCTGGAGGGTAGTCATTTGGGGTGCTAGATGAATTTCAACTTGTAGGGGCCTCAGGAAAAAGGCGGTATCAATTTTATTGAATCCAAGTTAAAAAATGGAAAAAAAAATTGGAAAACATTAGTTTGAAGATTTGTTGTCAGGAAAAAATTCAGGATTCAGTCCTGAATTTTTATAGGATAAACACTCAAAAACACTGAATAAGGCTAGAACCTAAGTATACTAGTTTTTTACTGAAACATAATTTTCCTCTCTTCTAGTTTATTTTTATCAAGGATAAATATTAGGACCAATTTACACACAAAATAAATTTTAGTCTCATACTTGGCTTATTTCCATAAGGTACCGAAAGAATAATTATTAGCCAAATAGGCTTCATTTATTTATTATTCATTCATTCATTTAATTTTTGAGGCAGGGTCTTGTTCTGCCACCCCCAGGCTGGAGTACTGTGGTATAATCATAGCTCACTGCAGCCTCAAACTCCTGGGCTCAAGTGATCTCCTGCTTTAGCCTCCAGAGTAGCTAGGACTACAGATATGTGTCACCATGCCTGGCTAATTCCACTCCCCCACCTCCGTAGAGATAGAGTCTGCTATGTTGCCCAGGCTGTTCTCAAACTCCTGGCCTCAAGAAATCATCCCACCTCAGCCTCCCAAAGTGCTGGGATTACAGACAGGCCTGAGCCACCTGGCTAGGCTCTTTGAAATTGTTTTTTCTGGAATCTTTCCATAAGGTATCTCAGCCTAACCAAGCTTTTGCCATCAGACTATAAATACCTGTATAAATTGGGGGAACTTCTCTCTTCTAGCAATCTCAAAATAACTTGAGGTTCCTGGACCTGTCAGAAAGTGACATTCTTTACCTATCACATGTCAGGAACCTTGTAAAGGACAAATTATCAGGCCAGTCTTTCCAAGGGGGTTTTACCAGCTCTATAAAATCAATCTCAATTCTACAATATAGTCTGGGCATATCTGAAAATATGCCATTCCAGTCAAAGCTTTGGTAAAATAAACAGCGCCTTCATTTGTGTCCTGTTACAAAAGAAAACAGATTCTTATTAAATTTATATTAATAAATATACTGTTTATCATTTAATATTTATTTTATTATATTAATATTTATTATATTAATATTTAATGTTTATATTAAATTTGTGGCAGTATATTTAAATAATTATACTTCCACAAATCAAGAACATTCACAAATAGTTTCCAAATTCTGGAGAAATCAGGTAGAGACGAAGATAAATGTTTCAGATTTTGCTCATGAAACTATAATTTAACCAATTTGTTGTAAGCTATAAATAGTTCAAGAGAAAAATGTTTTCTTGACTCTGGAAAACAAAACAAAGAATCAGCAGTGTTTCAGAAAAGTCATAAAAAAATTTTAGTATTTTATTAGTTCAGACCAAATAAAGCAGAACTTGCTTAAATGAAACATAAAAACTCTTGTGTTCAACTCCTCTCAGAGCCTTGCATCTCATCCGGTACAAAAGCCAAATTTCTTACAGTAGCCTGTGTGGAAAACCAGAATATGCCATCCCCAAATATAAAAAGATTGTTGGGTTGAAGACAATTAAGAAGCAGCAGATACAGGAAATCTCTCTGTTCTATTTGCCTAAAACAAGGACAGAGATTTACAAAGACAAAAAGATATCCTGCACCCCTTTCTATCAGGGAGGAAAAAGTTAACCACTGTGATAGTTTTGAACATTACTGGCCTGGAGATACACCAGAGAAACTGGCAAAGCACTGCAAAGCAAGCTTTACTAACTAGCCTTCATCTGTCATTTATTTGCTTTCCTCAAAGTTGCTGCCCCTAGAGATTCAGAGTCCTATCCCTTTGCCTTGTCACACTTCTCTAAAAATTTACTGTTCTTTGTTGAAGATACTACATAAGCTGAAATTCAAAGTCACCTCTTTAAGTATTCATTCTCTGGATGTCTCCCATGTAAATATGAAATATACATGTTAGTAAACTGCTTGTTTGTTTCAACTAAGAACTTATGTGAGGGGTGGGGGTTGAAAGAAAAATTATTCTTCCTTTACACTTGCAAGCACCTACATGGTCTGGCTTTTTTTTGTTTCTGTTTTAATTTCCTATTGTCTGTCCTCTGCTTCTTCCACACAGCCACTCTGGTATCTCAGCACTCTCCTTCCTCTTCTCCCTGAAGACATACAGATACGTTGCTTCCTCACCAAGATCTTTCAGCTCTATACTGAAATATTATCTTCTTGGTGAGATCTTCATTGGTTGCCTCATCTAAATTTCAGTTCCCATGACACTCTTTATTCTTACTTTATTTTTCTCTCTCTCACAATGTAACATACTACATGTTATATTTACTTATCTAGTTTATTTTCTGTGTATCCCAGAGCCAAATGTAAATTACATGAGAATTTTGTCTGTTTTGTTCCCTGGGTGTATTCCCATTGTAAACTCACAACAAATATAATTGGAGTAGGCTGGGTGTAGTGGATCACTTGAAACCAGGAGTTTGAGATCAACCTGGTCAACATGGTGAGACCCTCATCTCTACAAAAAAAAAAAAAAAAGTTTTAATTAGCTGAGAACAGATGATGGTTCTTTCTTGTTGCCCTAGCCACTTGGGAGGCTGAGGTAGGAGGATCTTACCACTTGAGCCCAGGGACTTGAAGACTGTAGAGAGCTATGATTGGACCACTGCACTGGGCAACAAAGTGAGACCCTGTCTCAAAATATATACATACATACTTATGTTTACAGTCAATAAATTTTAAAATTCAATGTTAAAGAAATATTTGTTATGAGAATAACAATAGCATCATAATTAGGTTTTTAAACAGCAGCTATGTATTAAAATATTGAGAGGCAAAATACTGTTACTTGCTTTACAAAAAAATCAAGGTAGTAGGATGAAGTGGTATAGGTAAGACATATTTGGCCAATGTTGATGTTGAAGCTGGATGAGAACTATGTGGATTTTATTAAACTATTATCTCTTTTTCCATATATTCTGAAATGTCACATAACAATTTTTTTAAATAAAAACAATATTAAAAAAAAAATTTCTAACTACATCAGTTAAAGGCATGGGAAAGAACCAGCTGGATACCCAAAAAGGACATTGTGTTAATCCGTATGGCCCCATATGAAGATAGAAAGGTATCTCGGTTGTCTGCCAGAAGGCCCATGATGGTATCTGCTCCTCCTTATAGCATCCCTAAAAACCAGATATTGCCAATCACTACACCGAAAGTGGCTTGGTATCTTAGCATAGACTTACATTGGCCTCACCCTCAGAAACTGTTATAAAAGCCAAGTGTTATTTGAGTAGTTGCAGTGAGTTAAATAGTTGTCAAGCAAGTCAGAAAGTCCTCTCTTGGAGATCACGATTATTCTCTCTGAAGGCAAATTAGGAGAAAAGCCTGTTTCAATTAGGTAACTAGGTGCTAAACCTACAGTCAAACAGTAGCTAATTGAAAGTATGGGAATTTATGTAGCATTGAGTCACGGTACCAGCTATTTGTTGGAAGCACCTGAATTTTATTTTATTTTTTTTGAATTTTAATAATTACTATGTCCTAGACCCACCCTGCAGACTCTAAATTAGTCCTGATTGAACCCCAAAGATATTTTTATAAAGCCTCACCAGGTAGCTGTAATGTCACATTGAGACCACTGATCTTTAATGAAATCAAACTATCTTAGGGGATTCTTGCTGCGTTCTTTTTTTTTTTTTAGAAAATATTTCATGCTATTACATAGATAAGCATATAATTTGCAAAAACTCAACTCTGGTAAGAGTTACAGGCAGTCTGTTTTTACTGATGAAACCTAAAACACCAGAAAACAAAACAACCTAGGCTACTGATTTAATAGTCATGAAAATCATCTGAGGTAAACAGTGCAATGCACATTCTGACTCAGTAGCCCTGGGAATCTACAGTTCTAACAAGCTCCCAGATAATGCCCATGCTACCAGTAGGCTGGTACCACACTTTTGAGTAGCAAATGTAGAAGCCATCGATTTTGCTTTGGGTCCTACCACCAATAAATTCATTTAGGAATCTTGGAGAGGTTCAATTTTTTATATAAAGCCAACTATCAGCAAAAGACACTTCACGTTAAAGCCAAAATTTGTCTTTTTAAAACATAAATAAGCAAATAACTTGAGGTTTGAGACATGAGAAAGCACCAAGCTTACCTTTGTCTACATACCTTTCCCAACGACCAATGCCCAAAGCTGTGAAAACAGAATTTTAAGAGGTGAATTGCAAACACCTACTCATGTTGTTGACCAGAATCCAACCTATGCGGGCAAAGAACTTTATATTGTGTACCCAGCTGACCAAAACTTTGACCTATTAGCGATTACTGCCCCCATTCCAAACTACTCTGTAGTTTACCAGATGCAACACGCCAAAAAATTTGTCAAGCCCAGCCTTAAAACAAAGGAATACACCTAAACTAACTAAAGCTTCCAGGAAACTGCCAGAAAACAAATCCAAGCCAACTTGACACACGAAAACGCAAATCTTTGCTTAAATGCCCCAAAACAAATGGCCTCCAACACGAGAATCACAGCATAAAGAGAGCGCAGTCACAGCTATTTTAAGTTAGAAGTGGGTGGCTCTTAAAAGAGCCTTTGAGGAAACTCATTGCTGAGCTTTACGCTCTCTCCCCACGAATGCGGCGAGCGAGCTGGATGTCCTTGGGCATGATAGTCACTCGCTTGGCGTGGATGGCGCACAGGTTGGTGTCCTCGAACAAGCCCACCAGGTAGGCCTCACAAGCCTCCTGCAGCGCCATCACCGCCGAGCTCTGGAAGCGCAGGTCGGTCTTGAAGTCCTGCGCGATCTCCCTCACCAGGCGCTGGAAAGGCAACTTACGAATAAGCAGCTCAGTAGACTTCTGGTAGCGGCGGATCTCGCGCAGGGCCACGGTGCCAGGCCGGTAGCGGTGGGGCTTCTTCACGCCGCCGGTGGCCGGGGCGCTCTTGCGGGCCGCCTTGGTAGCGAGCTGTTTGCGCGGCGCCTTCCCGCCGGTGGACTTGCGCGCAGTCTGCTTTGTGCGCGCCATCTCGAGACAAGGGCAAGAAAGAGCACAGACTTGGCAACGAAACTGGAAGCGGTTGCCTTTATATATACTCAGAAACATTCTGATTGGCCTTGTTGATTTTCAAAAGCCCCGCGCAATGAAACCATTGGCTGAAGAATCAATTAGCTGATTGGAGAATTTCTGAAGATTCTGATTGGATGAATTGATTCACTTTTGAATCCCCTCTTCTCTTTGTGGAAGAGGGAATCCAAGGGAATTAACTTTCTACTATTCTAATTCCGCAAATCTAACTGTAATGTCGATACAGAACCACTGAAGATCTGGGAAGATGCTAATTGTGATCTGGTAGATGTGAGGTGGGGCTAGATACTCCGAGGACCACGCTTTGAAAACAGACTTAACGTGTGTTTTGTTTTTTAGAGTCACCCGACTGCCACTTCTTAGCTCCAGTGAACCAACCCATTGACCTACATGGCAGAGTTCCTAGGTGGAATACGTGAGAAATCACAGGTAAGTGCCTAACCCGTAGGTGACAGACACACAACAATGAGGAACAAATGTTAATTGACTTACATTATGTTGTCTCAAATGATGTTTCGGTTCGCTTCGGAGTTGACTTTTTATTTCCCCAAAATTTGATCGTTTAGTTGTTCTCACTGGGTCCTATTGTTGACATCCGAGGCTACAGCTCTGGCTAGCCTCTTATGCAGGGTAACTTGAGGAGCACTGGAGTGGCCCTGTCCATCTAAAAATTACAAGGTTTGTAAACGTTACGGAACTTGCTTCCTCCTAACTATATTAAGGCCCTTACTCGCAATATTAAACATGTTCTCTTATGTGTCCTGTTTGCCTGGACTACATTCAAGCACAGTGGTGTCACAGGACATTTAAATTGCAGTCAATTTAGTCACTTGTATAGTGACTATCCTGAAGGATTATGGGGGTATAACTTTTCTAAGGTTGATAGAGGGTAAGAAAAACCATAATTTTTGAATCAACTACAAGCTTTTTGATGTGAAAATGTGGATGGCTCTAAAAAGAGCCTATGCGGGGGACGGGGGACATGGTAGTGACACCTACTGATGTTTCAATTGATTATTTCCTTTGCTCTTGGCTTTGTGGTGATTCTCGGGGTTCTTTGGCAGTAGCACAGCCTGGGTGATGGGCAGGAAGCCACCCTGGGCGATGGTGACTTTTCTCAACAGTTTAAGTTCTTCGTCTTTACGGATGGCCAGCAGCAGATGTCGGGGAACAATGCGGGTCTTCTTGTCGCGGGCAGCGTTGTCCGTCAGCTCTACAACCTCAGCAGTCAAGTACTCCAACACAGCCGCTCAGTAAACCGGCGCGACGGCCCCCGCCCGCTCGAAGTAGTTGCCCTTTCAAAGCAGGCGGTGCACTCGGCAGACTGGGAACTGGAGACCAGCGCGAGATGAGCGAGTTTTAGGCTTGGCGCGAGCCTTTCCTCCCTTCTCTCCATGTCTAGACATAGCGACGTACTGAAATGCATAGAAAACGGTAAGAAATTGACACTAGTAAAGCGCAAGCAGCTTGACTAATTTTGGGGGGCAGTTTGGTAAAATACCTGTGGTATTGCCCGAACACCAGTTTCAACCAATGGAAAAACAGGTGTTAGAAAAAGAATCCAAAAAAAAAATCGTTTCTAATTTATTTAAAGTCATTTTAGTTCAACGCTCTAGCCATTTAAGGTTGGGGTTTGGGAAAGAGCCAATCAGACTTAGGAATTCAGAAGTAGCCTATCAGGTATTCAGATACTAAAAGCCAATCAGAAGCTGTAACCCAGAAATCCTAATTTGCATACATACCAAACAAACATTAAAGGCATTTGCGTTCTGCCGTATTTTGCAGTGGAGCTTCTAAATGCTTGAGCTGGCTAAGTCCGCTCCTGCCTGGAGGAAAGGCTCCAAGAAGCCGGTGACCAAAGTGCAGAAGGATGGCAATAAGCGCAGGCGCAGCCCCAAGGAGAGCTACTCCATGTACGTGTAGAAAGTGCTGAAGCTGGTCCACCCGGACACCGGCATCTCCTCGAAGGCCATGGGCATCATGAACTCGTTGGTCAACGACATCTAAGAGCGCATCGCCGGCGAGTCTTCTCCCCTGGCGGATTACAACAAGCGCTCGACCATCACATCACCTCCAGGGAGATCCAGACGGCGGTGCGCCTGCTGCTGCTGCCGGGAGAGCTGGCCACGCGCGCGATGTCAGAAGACACCAGGGCTGTCAGTAAAAATGCCAGTGACACCAAGGGTCTTCTAAGAGCCATTCATACTGTCTTTTAAAGATCTGTCATCTCTAGGTTTGCAAAGGAGAGTGAATAAGGCAACACTATGGATTAAAGGTTTGGATTTAATGAATTAATTCACTATGGACTAAAGGTTTAAAAATACTGAGGCATATTTCTTATTCTATAGATTTTAAGGACTACCAAGGAGTAAATGCGTATAAGGAAAAGTGCACAGTTTTGTAGATTGTTTCCTAACAAAAACCACAACACCCTTACCCCACACCTGGAGAGGAGAAGTTTGAGGTTTGTTTTCAATTTTACTTTCATTTTATCAATCCTATTGCCCTTGATCGGGAGTAACTGGGTGGAAATCTGGAGTTTTGGGTGGTCCTAAATCTAAACAGAAGTTAAGAGTAGAATAAGAATTGAGGAAATGAAACTATACTTCGTTTTGTAATTTGCTGTTAGCTTGTGAATGGCTAGTGCTCACTGATATAGCAGTATCACCTCTGCTGGTTGCATTCCTTAACCACAGGTCTCTGTATCAGTTTCTCATACTACCGTCGTTGCAAGTCCACTAACATCTCTATAAATTTGTTCACTGAGTTTGTCATTCTTGGATTATTTCATGTAGCTATTTATTACCTCTTGGCAAAATCAGGAACTCTGTTCTATCATCCACTAGTTTTCTACCTGGCTTAACGTAGTGTGGTTTAAGAGGTAAAGAACAGGCAACAAGATTAGCATAAGAAGGGAGGAAAGAAGTGCAAATTTTAGTGCTAAGTAATTCAACAACCATGATTCCTGGCTGGTGAGGTGACAGGGATCTGCTTCTATCTGTTAGCCTCTTTTAGGCTCCAAGGACTCCTGAGTTCTCCCTACACTTCCTCCTCTGTGTCCTAGACAGACCTTGCCCACAGTTATTTCATTCCCTGAAATCGCATTTTAAGAGAGGAAGGAAGGTTACAAGGAATTAACATTTGTGTGACAGACCTTACCATGCACCTATGACATTGATTTTATCCTACAATCACCTGTGAAATGGAATCTCCTGCTTTACATGTCAATGACCAAAGGAATTAAGGTTAACTAACCCCTCACACAGAAATAAATAAAACTGAGATCTGAACCCCATCTATATAATTCTAAGTACTACTTCTATACTATTTGTCCAAAGCAGGAGGCTAGTTGCAATCATAAGAGTAGAGGAATTTAGGCTCATTTGGAATAAGAGAAAAGTAAAAATTGTGCAGCAAACTCCTTACATCAGCAAAAGTTTCTTTACAAAAGAAAGAAAAAAAAATTATGACTTTTGGGCCCTAAAGATCAACTGGTAGCAAGTTTAACTTTTCTGAGCAGTGCATTGGAAAAGAAAACCCTGGGCATTAGCAATGTAAACTGACCTCCAAAATCTCATTTTCTACTTATAAAATATGTCTTTATCTGCAAATGCCTACATAGCATAGTACTGTGAGCTTTAAATAACTGACCCAATTTTGTAATGGGGATTGTGAGGAAATTTTTGTAAACCCCATATACAATTAGGCATTCATTTCTTGCTCTCTAAAGCTGATTTTAAATACATTTTAAAATAATGTATTCATGAAAAGAAATACTCAAGCATGGTTTAGGTGTAAATCTGGGCCAGGCCATGGTGGCACCTGCCTGTAGTCCCAGCTACCTGGGAGGCTGAGGCAGGAGGATTGCTTGAGCCCAGGAGTTGGAGGTTGCAGTGAGCTATGACGAAACCACTTCACTGTAGCCCTGGGGGACAGAATGAGACCCTGTTGAAAACATAAATAAATAAAAATAAAAAGTGGGGAAATAAATGCCTCAGAACATGATCCAGTCCTGATTACCTATTCCAATCCTGAGTGTGGCCAAATTATGTAATTCCTCTATGTGTATTCCCTTACTTATACATGGTAATAATAATTAGTAACTACCACATGACATTGCTGGAATGACCAATGAAAGAACATAACTAAATACAGCAGGATGATGCCTACACAAAGGATGTTTCCAAAAATGTTAGCAGTGGCTAAAGCCTCTGGTTGAAGCCATAGAGGAGATATCCTTGGTCCTGGTCCATTGGAAGCCCAGAATCCTGTGGCCTTAAATAAGGTAGTAGGCCTCCAACCCTACTAGTATTTGATACTAATTGGCCTTCCTTATCTGGCAGTGTACTAGTCCCATCCTCTATTTAGAACCATCTGTTTACTCTTGTGTTTTGAGGAAATCCTAGTGCCTGTGATATACTTCCCTGTCTCTGCCAATTCAAGCAACATGTGTCATATTTTCCAGGGACATTTTCATGCCCTCACTAGAACTAGGGCTCCCTCACTTAATGGTCCAACATGTTGAGTTTTAAAAAAGGAAACCTAGAAACTCACATAAGAATTGCTTAGTAATTTTTTTTTTCTTCCCATGTTTCCGGCTTCCTTTGCTAACCTTCCTACATTCATTTTTCCTTCACTTATTTATTAGGTTTCCCTCATGTATCTCCAAACCAGAACCATTTGTTAGATGAACTTCTGCAACTGGGTAAGTATGTTCTTTAATTGGAGGAAGCTGGCTGACTGATGAGAGCCAAGCTAGCCTGATACCATTCTATCCCTGAGATACTGGTCACTCTAAAGGCCACCAATTAGTGTAAATTCCTGTGCCTGAAAAGCTGAGGAACCCTATCACATCCCAAAAGTAGAGGTAGCATCATCTTTAGGCTCTGATTCTAATAGCTGCTATTTTTATATTAATATTTGTCATTCCTATAGTAAATCATTTCTGAAAAGGACCAGGAAAAAAGTCAGTCTCTCATCTACTCTCAGCAGTGTATACATATAGATATAGATATAGATGGAGTTCAGAACACACTAACCCAAAATATGACATCTTGACATATTGAATATTTTTATTTATTTATTTTCTTCCTTTTATTTCATCATATTTTGGGGGTACAAATATTGTTAGGGTTACAAATATTTCCCCTGCTCCCCCCCCCCACATATTGAACATTTTAAAGAGAAGAATTTGAGAAACAGCATGTGCAAGGTCTCTCTGACATATTCCCCCATGCTTCTTCCCTGAAGCAAGTCATAAGATCCTCATATGAGACTTGCAAAGTCTGAGAGGAAACTGAAGAAATAGGCCTTGCTAGGTTTCTCCTTGCTACCCATAGCTCATACTCTTCTTTTTGTCCTGTTATATATTTATGCACAATTCTCCATCAAACCTAGTGTAAAAACACTCAAATTTCACTCCTTCTTTGGGTCTTTATTTCCTTATGAAGGCTCCAATATCATATAAAACCTATTAAATAAGTATACTCTTCTGTTGTTAATCTGGCTTTTGTTACAGAAGCTCCAGCCAATGAACCAAAGATGGGCAGGAGGAAAAGATAAATTTCTCCCTTACAACATTCATTAGTGTGTGTGTCTTTCAAAGGCAGAGCAGCAGACATAACATTAAAAAAATCCCAGAGAAAAATAATTGCAGAATGAAAATATTTGAAAAGTGTATTAGTGTGCTAGGGCTGCCTTAAAGTACCACAGAATGGGTGGCTTAAACAAATTAATTTTCTCAAAATTCTGGAGGCTAGAAGTCCAAGATCAACCCTGTGACCAGGGTTGATTTCTTCTGTGGCCTCTCTCCTTGGCTGTCTTCTCACTCTATCATCACATAGCCTTTCCTCTCTGTGTCTGTGTCCTAATCCCCTTTTCTTATAAGGAAATCAATAACATTGGATTAGGACTCACCCTAATAACCCCATTTTATATCCTTAAAGAGCCTGTCTCCAAATACAGTCACATTTGTAGGTACTAGGTATTAAGACTTCATCATATGAATTTAGGGAGAGAGGGAGGGAGATATAATTTAGTAACAAGTATGATGATTAAGCTTCTAAACACTACATGAATTAAATATTCCACAGGTGTCTCACACTCAGCAGGACCAAGACTGGCCTCATTATACTGCCTCCAGCTCCACTTACTCATCCAAATTTGAAATCTAGTTCCTATCCTATTAGCTTAGAAGTTCTATTGATTCTAATTTCTAAATTTATTTTAATATTGCCCATATTTCTATTTATTTTAGCTAAAAGCTGGAAATATAAATGTTGAAGAGTATGAGTTTGGCTTAAAATAGGTTTTATCCATAATGAAATACTATGCAGCTATTTTAAAAAGTGATAGAAAAAATAAACATAAAATATGTTCATGGGATAGTATGGGAGGAAAGCAAATAGCTAAATAGTGTATTCTCATTTACATATCATTATATTCTATATTAATTATTATATTATATTCATAATATAATCCCAGGAAAAGGAAAAAAAAAAAAAGAAATGGCTAGAGGCTCAAGACCAAAAGGTTAACAGTGCTGATACATTCTTTTTGGTGAAAAGATCAACTCCTCTGAAAATTACTTTATTTGGCTCTCTCCAAAATTCCCAGTGGTGTGCTTAAGAAATAGGTTAAGTTCTCCCTCAAGCCCTTTTCTCTCCAAGTCACCCTGTACTATGTTAAGAAAAATAAAAGTAATTCAACTATTGAGTACTATATACCAGGGATTATGCTAGCTAGGTTTGGTATACAAAAAATGCATAGGATGATTTTAAGATACAATTACTTAGTAAAAAATTGAAAAATAAGGCAAGAGAAAGGTTTCCTAGCATAAAGGGAAAAATAGACTAAGAATTATTTGTGAACTGCCTAATAATTCATGTGACACAAAGCATATGTTCTTGTTTATAAAATACTGCCCTAGTAACATCAAAGAGGATCAAATGGGAAAGTGAAGCAAAATAGGGCAATGTGACTATAAGGGCCAGGAAAACACAAGGTATTTTAAGGCAAGGAAATGGCATAATTCAGAGCCATGGTTACCTCTGGGAGGAGTAGCAGGAGGAAGAGAGATTATATCAAAGTGGTTATTGGAAATATTTGTCATATCTGGTTGGCCATTGGGTTAGACCATGGTCATAATATTAACCTTGTAACTTGTATATGAAGTTAATATATTCTTTTATAATACTTAGAATTATAAGTCTAAAAGTGAATAAACAATAACATATATTAGTCAAAAAATCACTTCATCTTTCATAAAAAGACAGAACACCTCCATAAGCTTTTAAATGTAGCTTATATTAGAAATGTGGTTATAAGAAAGAGAATTATCCCTTATACCTCAGAAGTCTGTAGGTGCACAGAAAAGACAAGTAGGGTACTATATAAAAATTGCTGCTAATATACAAGACTTATTTTTTAAAAGATTTTTCTTGAAATATTCTACCAGGAAAAGGAAATACTTCACATGTACACTGAAGTATTTCATTTTATCAATTATAAATTCATTTATGTTTATTCATTTTATCCATATTCATCTAGGCACTTGTTCAGATAAATTAAACACATAATTAAAATGTAATATGCTCAGTACAAGAACTAGTTTTGTAAAGGTTGAGAGAAATCAAAATCAATGAGAGGATGGGGAATTTTGCATGATTCTCTGTTGTCTAAAGTGAATATTTCTGTCATTGGCCTAACAGGGCTCCAAAATCTGGCACCAAGCTACTTGGCCAAGCATCAACTATCATTTTCAACATGAATTATACTTTTTGTGACATCCTATATAGTATTCCATTCCTGCTTCACTTTCATGGGGGCATGTTTTATCTCTCCAAATAGGCTGCAGGGGAAAATAAAGCAGGGAGGTGCTGACAGGGTGCAATGCTAACAGTGTCATAGCTTCACCAAAAGGATATTTGAATACAAACCAGAAGGTAGTGAGAAAGCTATACCCACAGAGATCTGCAAGCTGAGTGGCCCAAGCAAAGGGAACTGTCAATACATAGTCCCTGAGAGAGATACATCCTTCAAGCAAGTTTGAGTGGCTGGTGAAGCTGGGCTAGGAAAGAAAGGAAGAATAGTGAGATTTGAGGCCAAAGAGTGAACAAGGAGCAAGGAGTGGGGCCTTGTAGCCACTGAAAGGACTTCAGATTTTCCTTTGAGCGAAATGAAGGCCAATAGATGTTTTTATGCATGGGAGTGACCTGATATGATCTGCCCTTTATTGCAATCCATCAGGCTGCTGTAGTGATGAGGGTGCTACAGTAATAAAGGCAAGAGATGGCAGTGGCTTGACCACAGCCATAGCAGTGAGAATGAGAAAATAAGAAATGACTGCAGTCTGTCTTTTCAAGGTAGCGCTGATGGATTCGATGTAGAAAAATAAAAGTGACTCCAAATGAAAGGGTAGAAATGCCATTCACCAATTGCAAGACGGTGAGAGAATTTATTTTTGTAGTCATAATGTGAGAAATTCTGATTGAGGCCTGTTTAAGTTGGAAGTGGGTATGAATTGTACTTTCAAGTAAAGATGTCAAGTAGGTAGCAGAGTCTCTGAGTCTGAAGTTTAAGAGGAATCTGTGGGCTGGTGATTTAATTTCCAAATCATCAACATATACACAGTTCCTCCACAGAAAACAAGGAAACATCAGTTCAACAGAATCAGACAGAGATTTTCATTCTCCAGGTCCATCTTCTCAGAGCGATGAGAAGCAGCCAAGCTAAAGGAAGAGAAAAGGCAGTGTAGAATATAGGGATCTTGTTCTAAGTTCCACAGATAGGCTTGAGAGGCCACAGGAGGCCTGAGAACTCCTGGAATCGCATGCAAACTACATGGGGAAAGTAGGTGCACTTTGGAGAAAGGGTGTGAATATCTATCACTGGGTACCCAAAATGATTTTCCCATGGCTCTAATTTTAATAGATTATTTGAATGAGAATTTCAGTTTTATCGTATACTCTTATTACTGAGAGCATTTTTCCACATCAGCAAAATAGGGATAATATTTATTCTGTTTGTTCTGAGAACTACAGAACACAGGAAGAATTACTGGAGAAAGCACTTGTGAAACTATAAGTTAGGAATGCACATGTCATCTATACACAGCAAACACCTTATTTCTCTGACCTAGGGCTCAGCCATTGAACTGCTTCTCTTCATTATCATCCCTTTTTCCTAAGGGATGTTATTTCATCTTGTGGTGTTTTTACTCTCATGGCAGTTATACTCTGAGGACTCTCAAATATGTTTCCAGCCAGACCTCTTCCATAAATTCTAGACTCATATATCCAAATGTTTATTTTCTATCTTCCTCTTAGATTTGCAGCAGGCATCTAAAACTCTGTATGTCCAAAGCTAAGTCTGGAATTCTCTCCAAAATTTGTTCCTCTTTCTTCCCCATTTTAGCAACTGGCACCTCCATTCCAGTTCATTTGGCTAAAATCCATGGAATTATCCATAAGTCGTCTATTTATTTCATCTCCTACATTCACTAGCTCTGAAAAGAACTATCAATCCTCCCTTCAAAATATATGCAGAACCAGCGAGTGTGGTGGCTCATGTCTGTAATCCTAGCACTCTGTAAGGCTGAGACAGGTGGATCCTTTGAGCTCAGGAGTTCCAGACCAGCCTGAGCAAGAGACCCTGTCTCTACTAGAAAATAGAAAACATTAGCCAGGCATGGTGGTGTATGCCTGTAGTCACGGATATTCAGGAGGCTGAGGCAGGAGGATCACCCTGAGCCCAGGAGTTTGAGGTTGCTTTGAGCTAGGCTGATGCCACGGCACTCTAAACCAGGCAACAGAGTGAGACTGTCTCAAAAAAAAAAAAAAATATATATATATATATATATACACACACACACACACAGAACCAACCAGTTTTCTCAGCCTCCACCACAAACACACTGGTCCCAGCCATTGTCATCTCTCACCTGCATTATTATAGTAGCCTCCTAACTGGTCTCCCTGCTCCTATCCTGGCCCCCTCAGTCTATTCTCTATCAAGCAATCTGATAGCTCATTTAAAAATACAAATCAGATCCTGTTAGTCCTTTGCTAAAACCCCTACAGTAGCTCCCACGTCACTCAGAATAAAGGCCAAAGTTGTTACATTGGCCGACAAGGCCATATAGGAACTAATGCCTCCAAATGCCTCTCAGACCTTATCCCTTTTCCTCCCCACCCCCGTGTCTCTTTGCCCAGCCACAATACCTCCTTGCTATCTCCAGGCTTTCCTACTTGGTCTTCTATTTGGAATACTCCCTCATTTTCTTAATGTCATTTTTCTCCAACCATCACTTTATCATTACAGCTTTCCATGATCACATCATTTAAAAATATCACCTCTTCCTCCACATGTTGTGCTTTTTCCTGCTTTAGTGATTTTCATGGCACTCAGTACTACCTGACACACTATATTTTACTTTTGTTTATACACACATGCCCAATAAATGTAAACTCCATGAATATAAAAATATTGTTCAGTATTGTTCATTGTTATAATTCCCACAGCAGAAAACAGTGACTGGAACATACTTTACGTGCTCAATTTTTTTGTTGTTAAATTAACATCCTCATATTAGTTTTTCTCCTCAAACCAATGTCTTACTTCCAGTAACATCTGATTGTTTTCATATTATGTACAAGTCCACATCATTAAAAAAAGGCAAATGCAAAGTAACTTCACTGATTTTCCTGAATTCAAATTATCACCCTACAGATTACTTGCTGCACACAAGAAAGAAAAAACTGATTTTACAATGGGATTATCATTGTAAACCATCAATTGTTCTATCATCTTTACATAACCCAGACATCATGTACCTATCTATGATGTGGTACAAAAGTATGTACATATCTATAAATTGTTCCTGACAAGTATATTAACCTGATTTCAATTAGGTCTATAGAAATCGCATCTACTTTACAGGGCATAGTATAGAAAAGTAAAATGATCTTATTAGGAAACAAACCAATCCAAAGAATATTCTATAGTTCTGGCCTCCAGCAAATCAGTGTCCAAAAATGGGTAGGAGAGGAGGAAGAAGGAGACTATTTTCAATTCAGAGAATTGAGACAGAACCAGTCATGACTAGATCTTTCATTAAACAAACCTTATCTCCAAAACATTTAGGGCATAAGTGGGATTTCTTTAAAATGTCGATTGAGTATAATCTTAAGAAATTCAGTTTTAGTTAGGTGTGCGATACTATATGGGAGTTTTTAGCAGTGCATACTTAATGTGGGGTGAAATGTCCCGATGCCTGCAAGGACACTTTTCGCTATCATCTTTACCTGCTAACAAGTTTAGCTGGCATGTCTTATTCTACATTTTTAATGTTTTGGTAATAAAGTAAAAATACATTAGTATCTACACCAAACAACACTGGCAAGCTATTCCCGAGTGCTTCTCATAGGCCTTTAATCATCCGCAGAAAGCAATGCACACGCCGCCAGTTTTAAGGGCCGTGCTCCTTCCGGGAGGCACTCCTTTCCGCTCCGGTAGTCACCCGTTTCCGGCCCGTAGCCCAAGCGCGGGCTTTCTTTGTCCCTCCCCCTGCCCGCCATTTTGAGCGCGCTAACTCAGGCTCTCCAGTTCACCTTCTCCGCAAATACCCAAGAACCTTGCGAACACTTCTCGGGGACTTGAAACAGTCCCAGTCTAGCGTCTCCATTTTGCCCCTTTTGAGTGTTAATCACACAAATTACAAGAAGACATAAAAAAAAAAAAAAAGCGTAAGGCATTTTTACACCCAAACCACAAATAAATGAAACACTGCAAAATATTGTTCTTGCAAGTTAGACACACGTTCAAGAACTAGTCTCACAAACAGCAACCTAGAACATAAAGCAAGATGTTAGCTCTTTCTCAGAAAAATGAGGGCGGCCCTGAAAAGGGCCTTTGATAAACGAAGTACTTGGGTTGCGTAAGCGGAGACTTCAGCCGCCGAAGCCGTAGAGAGTGCGCCCCTGACGCTTGAGAGCATACACCACGTCCATGGCAGTCACCGTCTTCCGCTTTGCATGCTCCGTATAAGTGACGGCGTCACGGATCACATTCTCCAGGAAAACCTTGAGAACCCCGCGAGTCTCTTCATAAATAAGGCCAGAAATACGCTTAACACCACCGCGCCGAGCAAGACGCCGAATAGCAGGCTTGGTAATTCCCTGGATGTTGTCTCGCAGCACCTTACGATGACGCTTAGCACCCCCTTTACCTAGCCCCTTACCGCCTTTGCCTCGTCCAGACATCACGAATACTCTCCTGAAACCACTTTTCAGAAAAGCGTGTGTTGAACAGAGACAATGCCCTTATATGCACGGATTGCGGACCTAATTGAAAACTGAAGGTGCGCATACGGGAACTTTCACCCTATCAGTTGGCCCCACCTCTCACAACCGAGCCCGAAGTGACGTCACCAACGACTGAATTCTGCGCACGCAAAGCGCCTTCTGCGCGTAGGCTTGTCTGGCAAGTCCTTCGCATCCAAATAGGAATTTTGGAGAGGTTTTAACAACGATATCAGACTGAAAGAATTGACATTTTGTAGTGCTTATTTGCTGCTTGGGATGCTTTGGGACTATTGCACAGGAGCCTTGGTCCACACAATAGGGACTGCAGCAACCGCCACTGAAGCGGAGCCCAGCTTTGTCCCTACGTTTGCAGTGCGTTCTGCATTTCTGCTCCTCGCTGTGAAGCTCTTGCGAACGGAAACCCCCTGCGGAGAGTTTGAGAAATGCAAGACTTCACTCTCTCAATCACCAAGCCGAGGAAAATCTGACTAATAGCGTTTCTCTACGAAGACAAAAACAAGTTTGGTTAATGATTCGGAAATAGAATTCTCGCCCGCCTGGCGGAGGCCCACGTTGCATTACCAGCTTGTTTCTTCCTTCCCTGTTTATTAAATGTGTAATTCTCATTTAAATAGCTAGCCACCCCTCACATCTGCACCCCGTTATCTACCAGTGTGATAATGTTTACTTCTCTATTCCTAGTTTTCTTTTGATTCTGGTAGCAAGCAGCCTTATTCGAAAGAGTACTAGCAATATTTGATAGCCAGGGCATTAAAATAAATAGACAGATTCTCATAGGCTTTTTTAGCACAAGATTATCTAAGCACGAATTAAGGAGATTAATAGAAAGCGCTAGCCACAAGAGAGCAGAGTGGCGCAGCGGAAGCGTGCTGGGCCCATAACCCAGAGGTCGATGGATCGAAACCATCCTCTGCTAGCCCTTTTGTTTTTCTTTTTCTCTTACCCAGAATGTGAACCAGTATTTTACTAAAGACCATCATGATGATACTTATCTACAGAGATAAATAAAACTACAATTGATTGCTACATTAACTTTGCTTTAGCAATTGTCTAATTCTACAATGGTGGCAGGTTTTGAGTCAAAATGCCAGACAGCCAAGAAGAGCATTCTAGGAAAAAGAAAGAAATACAAGTAGACATGATAGCTATGGGTTCCTAAGGAACTATAATATAAATAATTCAGTGTGATAGAGTATGGAGGTGAGGTCGTGTGACGGAAAAGGATTTGAAGGGAAAAGTGACTGCACTCTGATCACTTCCTATTTACCTCCTATGTTACTCCTGAAGTCACCCCCATGTCAGTAAATGCAAATTTTGTTGTTACAGCAGAAAATATCCTGGAGATATACATGACTTTTCTATTTCTCTCACACCTCCAATCTAATCAGCAAATCCTTCAAAATATATTTAGAATTCCACCATGTCTCAGTAATTCTGTCAGCATTATCTTTGTTGATTTAGCCATAATCATGTCTGAATATTGCAATAGCTTTCAGCTGACATTTCTGCCTCCAGGAAGAGGGAAAGAGAGCAATATATCCATATCCAGATTTTTGTGGAATAGAAGAATCCTCTTGTTAAATAATCCCTACATTAAAGATGGTTGCAGAATTTTTTTAAAAATGTATATATGAGAACATATTGTTATTGAGCTCCTACTATTCGCCAGATGTTATCTATGGCTAGGTTAAAAAAAACTATGTATAAAAGACTCCTAAACATTCTATAGTATATGAAGACTATGTAAACATAGGGACAAAGCTGGACTCTGCATTCAATGGAGGTTGCTGCAGTCCCTATTGTGTGGACCAAGGCTCCTGTGCAATAGTCCCAAAGCATCCCAAGCAGCAAATAAGCACTACAAAATGTCAATTGCTTTCTTGTGATCGCAGTCTTCTATTAATCTTCTTAATTCGTGCTTAGATAATCTTGTGCTAAAAAAGCATGTGAGAATTGTCTGTTTATTTTAATGCCTTGGCTATCAAACATTGCCCGTTCTCTTTCCTCCTTTCTGTGCTCCAGTAACTGCTAATTTGCTAATCCAGAAAAGCCAAGACATATTACAAATGAGCCAGGAGGGCCTTTGCTCCCAGTGTCTGGGATTTAAGAAAATTAAGGAGATGCCTTATGTGTAGACTGCTGACATTATCATCAAATGAGGTTCATGAAGTCACAGAGATTAACTAACAGGCTTGAAAGAGCCATCCAAAACACAACTTTAAATTTATATCCCATCATGAGACCAAGCACTCTACAAAATATTATATATTCTATAAATATCTTCTCCATAATAGGATTTTATTGCATCATGTTTTTATGTTGATTCATCTATTAAATGTAAATATTGTTAATAATCAAAAATGTTTGTATTTCTATTCCATGTTTCTTCTTAATATATGGGACCCTCAAAAATAGTAATGGCCCTGGACTTCTCTATACTCCCGAGAAACCCCAAGAAATGTATTCTCTTTTTTTTTTCCCCACTCAAATAGGGACATACTATGAACAGTGCCCTGATATCATATTATAACAATCAAAGAAAGTGCCAGAACAGTGTGAGGAAGGGAAAATTGTCATAGAGGTTATGCAGGATGGCAAGAAAGACGATCTTGTAGATGTTGGCTCATGGTTAAACTGCCTTCCAGGTGCAGTTTCCTTGACAACTGTCTAGGCAGATACCCCAAGTACCTAGAGTCTGTAAATGGTGGGTGTGGGTGAGCATCAATATGGAAGAAACCCTGAGCAAGTTTAATTTTAAAATTAAAATGTTAAACCAGTACAGACCAGTTGAGGTGGCTCATGCCTGTAATCCTAGCACTCTGGGAGGCTGAGGCGGGTGGATCATTTGAGCTCAGGAGTTTGAGACCAGCTCTGAGTGAGAGCAAGACCTCCGTCTCTACTAAAAAATAGAAAGAAATTAGCTGGACAACTAAAAATATATATAGAAAAAATTAGTCAGGCATGGTGGCGCATGCCTGTAGTCTCAGCTACTTGGGAGGCGGAGGCAAGAGGATCGCTTGAGCCCAGGAATTTGAGGTTGCTATGAGCTAGGCTGATGCCACAGCACTTTAGCCTGGGCAACAGAGTGAGACTCTGTCTCAAAAAAGAAAAAAAAATCCCTCAGTATAAATAATATGCAATATTTTTGCATATTTTAAGTCCCATAAACTCCACTTTTTTGCTTTGGGAGTCATAGAGGAAATTTTTTCTCCATGGAGTAGCCATATACCACAAGACTAAAATAATCTCAACTGTTCAGAAATCCTGACTCTGTGGCCCCAAATAACCTCCATTTTCCAATGGCTAAAAGCACGGGAGAGCCACAGATGCCTTTGCCTTTGAATCATTCATTATACAGAACATTCCGTCTGGGGCAGAAAGCTCATTCTACTTTCTAAAGATTGAACTAGATGAGGGATTTGCAGGGACCACGTGGCCTAGCAGAGTCTAGCAGCCACTCCTCAGAGGCCACACCCCTGCCCAGTCTGTTCCACCTCCAGCTCTGTGCACAAGGGCCTCGGGGAGGGGCAGAAGGTGGAGCAAAGCCCTGTAGTGAATCACACCCACAAGCAGGGCCAGAAGCCAAGATTCAGAAGGAAAATCCAAACCTAAACAGGTCTCTCGCCTCAGCCCCAGGCCCAGGCCCAAGCCAGGTTATTAGATGTTACTAAGGAACAGGAAGTATTTGCAGCCTACCATGAATACTCTCAGGTAGACCCTATCACTCCCAACAACATTCCCTGCTGTTCAAAGGCCTTCTGGCTTCCCCTGTCAGCCCTGGGAAGAAACTACCTGTGACCCCAAGACCCAGGGAAAGGTGGAATCCCTGGGGAGAAAAGACAGGCTTCTGGGGAAGGAAGAAGCAGGGTGAGCTTTTCTAGGTGGGGGCCAGGGGAAAGGCCCTCGGCCTATATGCTGGCCACCACATAGACCAAGGCTTCTTCAGTGTCATCATCCTCTGAGGCACACAGTAGGTGCTTAACAGGTGTAGCCCTTAATACATTATGTGTTTGTTGAGTAAATGAATGAATAAACCCTCTCAAGACTGGTAACCAGAGAAAACAGGGAAAAGTAATTTTCACAAATATAATGAAGTTAATATCTACATTTTAAGGAGCTGATCACATTTAAAAAGCAAGACAAACTTTGTGAAAACCTCACTAAGTCCTCAATATAAAAATGGGCAAAGGAAACAAGGAGATAGAAAATGAAAGTGGTTAAGAAACATATAAGATCTACTCAGCCACAGAAAACAATGATGATCTAGCACTTCCTGTATTATCCTGGTTAGAGCTGGAGCCCATTCTACTAAGTGAAGTATCATAAGAATGGAAAAACAATCACCAAATGTACTCACTATCAAATTGGTTTTAACTGTTCAACACTTAAGTGCACATATAGTAATAACATTCATTGGGTGTCAGGCAAATGGGAGGGGGAAGAAGGAGATGGGTAAATTCACACCTAATGGGTGCAGTGTGCACCGTCTGGGGAATGGACATACTTGAAGCTCTGACTCGGCTGGGGCAAAGGCAATATATGTAACCTAAACATTTGTACCCCCATAATATGCTGAAATTAAAATACATAAATAAAAGAAGCACATAAGGACATGTGAAACTCACTGATAACCAAAGTAATCCAAATTAAAAAGAGACCTTCTCTTGCCTATCAGATGAGCAAAGTTCCAGGAGACAGAGTCCCTCATAACTACAGATGAATGTGTAAAGTGGCACAAACTTTTTGGAAAAAAATATGTGTCAATAGCCTTAAACATGTTTCAACTTTTGACTCAGTAATTCTAATTTTATATAAAACATCTCCTCAGAATTTAATGCAACTTTATAATAGGAAAAAAGTCCTGGAAACAATCAAAATGTTTAATAATATAGAAGTATTAAATTCTGATATATTCATATAACAAAATATTGTGCCAACATTAAAATCATAATTTTAGAAAATATTTAAATGACCTGAAAATATTCCAGATACACTATGAATGAGAAAAGCAGAA